TCTGGGCCTTCATTCTCCATGAGCCCATGTCTGAGCATTGCATCCCCCGGCACACAGGGGGTTAAGTCAGCCTTGGATCTGGGAGCTGGAACCCATGGAGTCCTTCCTGACAATAAAGCTAATGAATCCCTCCTTGCCGTTTTCTCTCGAACAATAACATTTAATCATCATTTGCACAGCAGACGAGAAGTTTGCAGCAGATGCAATTTTGTGTGAGTGGTGATTTCTACATGTGGGCACCATTCTTGTTGTCCCCAGCACACCTGACAATCTGGGACCAGGGCAGGCTGCACTCCAGAGGGGGTGTGTGTACATCCACGTGCTAAGGATCTGACTCCACACACGTGGGAGCCGGGCTTTGGAGGCACGTGTCTGTGTGCATGCTTGCCTGCGGATTTAGGTACATGTGGCATGGCTGTGGGTGACCCATGATGGATCTGCCTGAAGGTGCATGTGGACAGAGGTGGCTAGGCGCCTGAGGACACATGGTCTGGAAGTGAAGGTACATACATTGTAGACAGGCAGATGCATGAGGGTATATACCATTGTATGTGGGTGCGTGTGCTCGCTATAGATCTGAGCATTTGTTTGAGGATGCCTGCTTGATTAGATGCTTGTAGGTGATCATGTATATTATGTTAATACACACAGACCTGTGTGCTCACATGTACAAACACATCCATGAGCATGATGCACTTGAATTTAGAGTTCGTAAAGAGCTGTTCCTGAGGTTACACATGCTTTCCTGTGCATGCATGAAAATGTTCATATGCATTAAGAATGAGTGCATAGAGCTATGTTCGTGTGTGCAAGCACATCTGAGGGTATACACATACGTGTACAATGTACTTGAATGAGAGTTTCTTGAGACACACAATCTCTTCTGGGTTGCAGATGACTGACTTTCTGCAGTGTCCTCCCAGCAGAAGGGGGCTAGAGAGCTCTCTGGGGTCACTTTTGTAAGGTCACCAATCCCAATGACGAGGGCCATCCCAATCTGCGCCACCTCCTAATCCCATCTCACTGGGGGTAAGGATTTCGACGTGTGAATTTGGGAGTGCATGTGTCTGAGTGCATGCCTGAATGGGAAAACATGTTTGCTCATCGAAGAGCACTAGTGTACACACTGAGCACAAACACGGGTGTGCACACCAGAGCTTGCCTCTAGTACATGCACAGTGTACTGGCATGTGACGTTTGCAGATCTTCAGGGATGTACTCTGTATGCATGGCTGTGAACATGCGTGTGTCTGCATTGTGCACACAGATGGGAACATGTCTGTGCATGCATGTGCATACATCGTGTGCTGGCATGCTTGTGCATCCACGTGCACGCACTGAAGCCTGAGCCCTCTTGGCTCAGAGTGTGGGCTGACAGGGCTACATTTTCCAAAGGCTCAGCGGCCAGTGGCAGAGCTGGCCTGAGAGCGCTTGCTGGCAGGAGGTAAGCGGAGCTGCTGATTCGTGACCCGGGGGTGGGCTGCGATGACGGCTGGCTGACGGACGCGAGCGCTTAGCCGCTCCCTATGACAGCAGCTGGCTCTCTGAGCTGCCTGAATCAGGAGGTGGGAGGTTAGTTCTTGACCTGTGGTGCTCAATGCTGGCTTCCCACATCCCTGGTGTGTGTCCACAGCCACATGCAGACACACATACATTGGTACACACCAGAGACACAGACCCGGGCTTGGACGGTGGCCAGTCACCTAGACCCCACCTCCACCTTGCTCCCCCAGCTCTGCCATCCACCTGGAATGTCTCCCATTCTCACTAACGTGCTTCTTTCTCCTCCACACCCCCCACACCCCCCGCCCCCAGCGACCACTCAGGCTGGGTCTTGTGCAGAGCCCTGGCGGGGGTACGTGTAAAATGGGGAAGGCCCTCTTCTGTGAGCACGGCTTCCGCATCCCATCCTCATAAAATAGGGCCAATGAAAATACCTGCTTAAAATTAAACAAGGCAAGTTATGTAACGTGCATACAGCAAACATAGGGTCCACTCTCCGTGAGTTTTACCTATGTTAGTATGAATTATGCACAGTGCTTAGAACACTGCCTGGCATGCAGCAAGTGCTATGTAAGTGCTGGCATTGTCATTATTACTGTCATTGTCATTCTCATTGATATCCCTGGTTCTGAAATTCTTGGCCAATTATACATCAATTCTTGCTCAAGACCCTGAATACTCTTTTATCCCATAACAATGACAATGATGATGACGATGATAACAAAAAGGGATTTTTTTCTTTTCATTTTCCTAGATGCCTTTTAAGGTGAGCAGACATCGTAGGGGGAAGGCTCCTTCTTCTCTGAGCTCCTTGGTAGAGTTGGGTTTGCCCGTTTGGACCCTGGAGCTGGGGTGGCCGTATTCTCTGCCTAACACAGGGAGCGCATTTGGAACTCTTGGGGAACCTACTGGGAACCGAAGACACAGATGGCCAAAAGCTGTGTGCTCAGGAAATGCTTGGTGAAAATGGACACTTTGTGCCACCGAGTGAAGGGGCTGGACTCACCGGAGACGTCACTCTGGCTGGCTCAGTGAGCAGCGGAGACACCAAGTGCAGATGCAGAAGCTGGGAGCAAAGGGGACTGAGGGGACATTACCTTTCCCTCCACGTCCCACCCTGGAACTGGCAGAAGGCACAGGGAGGCTTGGGGACTTCCGCAGGCTACGGAATGCAGTGGCGAGGAGGGGAACGAGCTCTCCTAGAGCACAGACGGAGACTGCTGGATACACCCAGGACATGTGTTCAGGGATTACTCTGTGCTGCTGGCGGGGTATTTCTGGGGGCCAGAGCACTCAGGTTTGAATGTTGGCCTCTCTACTTATTAGTTGTTTGATCTTGGGCAAGTTACTTAACCTCTTTGTGCCTCGGTTTTCTCACCTATAAAATGGGGGCTACCTCATTGGGTTGCTAAGGGGTTAAGGAGTTAATTCATGTGAAGTGCTTAGCGCACATGGGAGGTGCTCAGTACACGTCAGCTGTTGTTATTGCCTTTGTCCTCACCGAGATGCTATGGGGTAGGTGTTCTGAGTGCATGCACTTTATGGATAAGAAAACGGAAGCACAGAGAGGGTAAATAACTTGTCCAAAGTCACACAGTGGGTAAACCATAGAGCCAAAGGCTCAGAAGGTGAATCTGGATGAATAATGTTATTTCCAGCAAGATCTTTGATTCTGTGTGACCTTGGGTAAGTCAGTCCCCACGTGTGGGGTTTGGACGAGATGTTTAAGGGGCCTGTGACTACATGTCCATGTATCCCTCCAGACATGTAACCTGCCTGTAACCTCCTTCTTGACAGGGTCAAAATCTGCCAAGGCAACCAGTGTATGTGGAAGGAACAGACTTGGAGTCAGGGGACCTGTGTTGTCTCAGCTCTGTCCCATATCAGCTCGGAGACCTCAAATCAGTCACTTTATTCCTCTGGATCTTACTTTTCGTCCCTACAATGAAGATGGCCGTAACCAACCTCAGAATCGTTGGGATTCTGTACGTGAGAGTTGCGTACATGTGGATAAGAGAGGTGATCACACGTTTCTTCAGTGGCCCCCAAGTTACCAAGCCCATTTACAGCATGGGCCGTAGGAACCATGGGTTAAGGGTCCCATGTGGGATGAACTGGGGTTCCCAAACATCCCCCCACTTGGGGCTACCACACTAATCCCACATCCCTGCCATTAGCCACCCTCAGTGGACTTCAGAAAATATACATGTTCAAGTTGAGCAAATCATCGAGTTCCTTAGCCTGGCCTTCAAGTTCTTTTTACAGCTCCTTCCAGCCTTCCTGGCCTCACCATTTCTCCACCCTGGACCACAGGGTGCCGCGCGAAGCTCTCGCATGTTTCTCGCCTCTCCCCGCAACCCCCAGCCTTTGCATTCCCAGCCCTGCTCGGAACGCTCTTGCTTGGCCATCTCACATCTCGTACTCATTCTTCGAGACTCAGCTGAGGTTCTTCCTCTGGGAAGCCCTCCAGGAATTATTCCATCTTTCCTCAGTGTTTCCAGGACCTTGTTCTCTTCATTCTGCTACGACTCTTACCAAACGCATTATTATTGGCTGTTTCTATTCCCCAACCTTCCTCCTCCCCCCTCGTCAGGTCTTGGGCTACTGGAAGGCAGGAACTACTCATCATCTGTGTAACCTTGGGCAGGTTACTGCTCTCTGAGCCTCAGTTTCCTCACCTGTGAACTGGGGCCAACAGCACCTAACTTAGACGAAATAATGCAGGTAAGGCATTCAGGACATACTGGCTGTCTCTCGATCTGTCACAGTGGACCTTGGCAAATGTGGAGGGAATGAATGAGAGCTCCCTGGGAGGGTAAAAAAATAAAGCTAATGAGCATTTATTGAGCACTTTCCATGTGTCAGGAAGGCACTGAGATCAGAAGTTAACATTCATTACCTCCTTTAAGCCTTTTAAGGGAAAGACTATTATCGCCCCCATTTTACAGATAAGGAAACTGAGGCTTCAGCAGTTGAGGACCTCGATGAAGGATGCCTAGCTAGGAGGAGCCGGAATTCATATCAGATCAACGTGGAATGAATGAATTCCTTGGGGGTGGGGGTGAAATGGGAGGACAAATAACCTCTACTTCATAATCACGTGGTTTTAGAGCTGGAAGCTCTTAGAGATGACTTAGTCCAGGGGTTCTTAATTTGGGGTCCACGGTGGGGAAACTGATGGGTTCCCAGACAAGACAGATAAGGTCCCCACCATGCCCGGTGGCCCTCCATCTTCCATCAACTCTTTCCCCCCACTCAGTCCTGGGGCCACCCAGCTGGTCCCCTCTTGGCACTGCTGCTATTTTGGTGTAGCCTGAGACTCTGGGAGGCTGCACAGTCGCTGGGGGCATCCCTAATCCCAGTCCCCCACTCAGGGAAGGACCAGGAGCTGACAGTTGCGACCACTTCCCCCTCCCTTGGAGATGCTGGGGCAAGGGAGGGAGCTCGGACCTGAGAGGCAGACACACTGGGCTTCTAAGAGCAGCAAAGATAAGAACAGTAACAAAGGCTAACATTTACTGAACACCTACTATGTGCCGGGCACTGTCCTAACCACGTGACGCATATGAACCCTTTTTATCCTCACAACTCTTTGAGGTGGGTTCTGTTATTAACCTCATTTGACAGATGAGGAAACAGGCCCAGAGAAGTGAGGTGACTTGCCCAAGGCCACGCAGCTGGTCCGTGCCTGACGCACCACCATTCACTGGCTAGGTGTCGTTGGACAGGTCACAGCCACTTCTGGGCGGGGGGCTTTCCCCATCTGTTCCGTGCAGGACCCCACTTCCTGGTTTCTATGACGACTAAGAGGATCTCCGTACAGCGTCCCAGCACACGGTAACGAACAGCCCTTCCTTCCACTGAACTCGGATGGGGGGAGGCCTGGGCGGGGACAGCTCAGCAGCATCCTCCCCGCAGCCCGGGTTGAGTAACCTGCCCCTTCGACGCAGCCACGCCACCCCCGTCTCCCCTTCCAACCCCAGAGCCACGCAGTGCCCGGTCTGGCCTCAGTTTTAATGACGTTGGTCGTAATTCTGCACCTCTGGGCCTGGAGGCTGCGCCCCCAGAGGAGGGGTCCAAGAGTCCGCCCCTAACGAGGCCCCCTCGCGTCCGGCCGCCAGGGGAGGGTGAGAGGGCTGGGGAAGGGGGCGAGCGGGGAAATGCCTTGTCCTCGGTGGGTCCTGGGCGGGCGAGCCCCCGACGGCAGGGGCGGGGCTAGGAGGCCTGGGCCTCGTCGTCCCCGCGGTGGCCGGCGTAGAGCGCGGCCAGGGGCCGGAAGCGCGGGCCCCAGCTGCTGAGATAGGCGAAGTCCTGCTCGGAGCCCGACGAGCCGCTGTGCAGCGAGCTGAGCGAGGCGGCCGGCGAGTCCGCGCCCTCGAAGGCGTAGGTCTGGAAGGCGTCGTAGGGCGGCACCGACAGGTCCCCGTCCGCCAGCGCCACCTTGCGGCTGATGAAGTCCCTGAACACCGAGAAGTCCGGCTCGGGGCTCGGCGGCCCTTGAGGGAGCGAGTGGCGCTCGGAGGGCAGGTGGGCCTGCGGGGGGCTCCCCGCGGCCCCGCCCGCGCCCGCGCCCGCGCCCGCGCCGCCGCCGCCCCCCCGGGCCCCGCCGCCGCCTCCGTCGCCGCCCTTGAGCTCGCCGAAGTCGTAGAGGCTCCGCAGCGCCGACATGTCGTAGGCTTCGGTGTCCTGCTCGCCGCCGCCCTCGTCGTTGTACTTGATGACGTTGTCCCGCATGTCCTCGTCCTCGTCCGAGCTCAGGTGGCTCTTGTGGTGGCGCCTGAGGGTGAGGATCAGCAGCACCAGCACTGCGCGGGAGACAGAGGGGGCAACTGCAGGCCGAGCCCCGCCCAGCGCAGTACCAGGAACACCCCCCTCCCACAACCCCCACCCGCCCTAGCGGAGAGGGCCCAGCCTTAACATTCGTGCAAATTTCCTAGATTTCTGCTCAGAAACGCCTTTCTTACAGTCAGAACTGAGTTGTCTGGAGAGGTAGTGAGCTACTCATCTTGGGAGGTATGCAAGTTGAGGCTAGATCACCACTTGGGGTGGAGGTGGTGGAAAACAGTGTTAAGGGTTTTCATGGGTATTAAGGGCTAGATTCAGCCTCCGAGGTCTCTATTCTCAACTCTATGAAAAGATACACTCTCTGAGGACTCTGGGGGCTAGGGGTGTGACCAGGGCAGCTGAGAGACAAATGGAGCTGGGGGAGTGAAAGATATCCTTGACGCTGATCTCTGTTTCACTCTGGTCCTCCTCTGTCCACCCCAGAAGCCCTGAGCTCCAGCTTAGTCCTTTGGTTCTCAGGTCACGACCTGCAAAACCCTTCCCTGAGAGCTCCAGGCCAGATTCAAAGCCTTCACCTCCCAGATCCCCTGGGAAGCAGTTCCTCTATCACACTGGTTCTCAAAGTGAGGTCCCTGGGCCAACAGCAGCAGCGTCCCCTGGGAACTTGTCAGAAATGCAAAGCCTCAGGTTTTGCTGCAGATCCACTGGGTGGTACCCAGCAGTCTGTGTTTTAACAAGGCCTCCAGGTGAGGAAGAGGCAGCTCAAGTTTGACAGCCACAGCTGTATCGTAGACCAGACGCTGCTGTGTAGTCATGTCTGTCTCCGCCACCCCAAAATATACACCCTAAACTACCCTGGAGGACCCAGGACCTGGGCCCAAGTTCCCCTAGCTTGGTGCCTGGCATGCGATCAGCACTTGAAGCTGAATGAATGAACGAATGAATGAATGAAAGTTGGATGAGACCTGGGTGAGTGAAAGGGTGAGTGAATGAATGAATCGTCCCCTCTCAGCTTTCTTCACTTCACTTCCAGGACTCCACATTCTCTTCCTCCTCCTCCCACCTCACCGATCACGCATTCTCAATCTTCTGGGCAGACTTCTCCTCACCTGACTTCTTAGCTCAGATGTCCCAGGACTCACAGGTGTCCCAGGACTGAGACCTTGATCCTTTATCCACACGTTTGGAGCTCTCCTTCGGTCTCATGGCCTTAAGTTCCACTTAGAGGCTGAGAAGCTGACAACTCCCATATCTCAGCCTCCAGCCTGGACCTCTCCCCTGAAATCTAGTTTTTACATCCAATTCCCTACTCAACATGTCTTCTTGGTTGACCAAGAGAATCTCAAACTTAACATGTCAAAAGCTGAAATAATAATCTTTCTTCCTTCCCCCCCCTTGGTCTCCCCATCTCAGTGATGGCAACCCCAACTTTTCAGTTACTCAGGGCTTTGAAAGTCTCTTTTGTTCACTGATGAATCCTAGTGCCTAGAACTATCTAGCTCATAGGAGGGACTCACTGGATGGATATATAAGTAAATGATGATGGGTGTGTGGACAGATGGATGGATAGGCAGACGTGTGCCAGATACACTGCCAGGCACTGGACTCTTCTTGCTGCTCCAAACAGCTCCAGCCAGGCCAGTGGCTAGAGCCAGCTGCTAAGCCACGACGCAGGGTACTAGTTCACCATCTGAAGAGGTGGCTTATGAAAGGGAAGGGGGTAAGGGCTGGGAACAGGTTTGGTTTGGACAGGGAAGGAAGGTGTCAGGAGAGAAGTGGGAAAGATGGATGGATGGCTTTTAGAGCTGAGGCCAGGAGCTGCGGAGGGGGATGCCCGTGGGAGCAGATGGTGGGGATCGCGAGCGGCGGGCGACAGATGTGCCAGGCCTGATCAGCGATTCCGCCCGTCACCTTTAGAGCACTGATGTGCACTTTCTTCGTTTGTGGGCAATTAGGCAGAAATTTGTTTGCACTGCCTCGGAAAATGAAACCGCTGTAAAGTGCACCCTCTGGAAAAAGGGCTTCTGAGCTGTGGGCTGGGGCGGGGAGGGAAGGGGGGCCTGGGCCTGCCAGCTAGGAGGAGCCTGCCCAGGGCCTCTGCAGGGTCCTGAGAAGGACAGCTGCCACAGGCAGGTCCTCAGAGGGCAGGCAACGGCCACGCCTGCGGTAGGCAGCAGAGCGAGGGGCGGGAGGAGCTGACGTCTCCCAGGGAACGGAGCAAAGCTGGTGTCTGCAATCTGGACCTCTTTGGAGTTCCTCTAGCTCTGGCTGCACACTGAAGCCCTGTAGCAGAACTGAGTCATCAGTGCCTTGAGTGGCCGCAGCTCTGATAATGGCATTTGGCCACTTGAATCCAGTTAGTTCCTGAAACTTGACCCCTTCACTGGGGACACTGGGGTTCAGATGGCTGCCAGTGGGACTGGTACCAATGTAGATTGCCCCTCACCCCCAAGTCTTAAGACTTTTCCCTTGGTGCCCCAAGGTTTTTCCCCTAGTTAGAGGCATAGCAAGTGGTTTAGTTAGAGGATCAAGGGACACGGGGTGAGAAGACCTCGTTTCAAGCCAGAAGACCTGCTGTGTACCCTTACACCAGCCACTTAACCTCTCTGAGCCTCAGTTTCCTCAGCTGAAAAATGGGATGATATACCTGGCCATGTGGTTGTGAGGTTCACAAGAGAAAAGTCTTACATGGAAAATAAGAAAGGACAATAGACATGAGAGAATTTTTTAAAAATATGCCTGGTGTCTAAGAATTAGGGGGAGCTTTGGGCTGTGTAGAGGGTGGACCAGTGTGAACGCAGCCCGTCTGCAGTGGGCGGTCGGCTGCTCTGTACTGAGAAGACTTCTCATAGGAGGTGCGGGTTAGAGCTCGGAGACTGTTCAGAACGGCTCGTCCTTGTGTGGAGAGGGAAACTGAGGCCCTGTGGGGGCTAGTTGGGAAGGAAACCCAGCGCCCCAGGCTGGGGGTCAGTCGGGCAGAGGTGGGTGGTTCCCGGTGGACTCACCGACCAGGATGAGGACGCAGACCAAGAGGGCGATGAGGGCGCCGGGGCTGAGCGAGGTGGCCATGACGAAGGCCGTGGTGTTGCAGGACTGGATGGTGCCGGAGCTGTCGCAGCCGCAGACGCGGATGGTGAGTGTGCCCGTGCTGCTCAGCGTGGGTGGCCCGCTGTCCACCACCAGGATGGGCAGGAAGAACACGTCCTGCTCCTGCCGGTTGAAGCCCACGTGCTGCGTGTGTACTGCGGCCGTGTTGTCTGCTCCGGAAGAAGGGGGTGGCATGTGACTCGGGGCCCAGGGTCAGGCCCCCCTATCCCAGCAACCTCCTGATTCTACCTCGAGATCTACCTCCTTATGCCCCGAACTAATGCTTCCCAGCTGGTTCATGTCCCAAAACTCTGTTAGCAGCTGTCCCCCAGATCCTGTCCTTAGCTGCCCAAAGATCCCGTCCCCAGCCATATAGCCCACAATTCTGTCCTCGGCAGTCCCAAGATCCCGTTTTCAGCTATTGTAAGACTTTGTCCTCAGCTGTGCCAAGGCCCTGTCCCCAGCTATTCCAAGATTCTGTCCCCAGCTAGGCCAGGGCCCTGTCCCTGGCTATGTCAATTTTTTTTGGCCTGCTTTTGTTCCAGATTCCTCCCCAGCGGCCCAGTGTATTCTGACCCTGGGAGTCCCATGGTCCTTGGATTGCAGTTTGCTGGGCTCTGACAAGTCCTGGGTCATCAGAGGGGACTGGACATTTGCCTTGGCTGAGGGATCTTTCTGTCCTTCATACCCCCAGGCCAATCAAGCATCCTGGAGCCAGCTCAGGAGTCTCTCGATGAGACACTGAGGCTAGAGGGCCGGGGGCACGGCCTCTGGGGCCTGATGAGGGGGCCCGAGACTGGCAGGGTGTCCCACCCACATTTTTCCTTTTCATGTAGGCAGCCAGAGAGGACAGTGAATTAACACAAATGGAACTCATTGCACTATTCAGCCTGTCACTGGGAAAGCCAGACAGGATGCGGGGCAATGGTGGCTGGCCTTGGAGCACAGGCTTAGGTGACGGGTGGCACCCACTTCCTCCACCCTTCCTGCCTCCTCCACATTTGCCCCGTTTGAGTCAGGCCCCCCCAGCCCCCCATCGTTTGACGCCTCCTCTCGGTTCTGTTTAGCGTGTTGGTAGAAAGTGCTCAGAGCCCCACCCTTGATAGCCAACTCTGCAAAAGGTGGCCCTGCCTTCCTGCCCTTCAGTCCTCCCTGCCATTGAAGTCTTCAGGCTGGTCTCTCTGATCTGAGACTTCAGCAGCCTGGGTCCCTTCCCCAGATTTTGGCCCCAGCTAACCCAGCCCCTTCCCCAGCAGCCTGCAATTCAGTGCCTCAGATCCGGCCTTTGTGGTCATGGACACATGCAGGAAAAAGAACCTTGGAAGGGCTGACTTGTGACCTTGGGCGCATCCAGGAAGTGGACACGAAACAAGATTGGTCGTGAGTTGAAGACTGCCCACGAGGGGATGGGCCCAGAAGGGTTCATTATATTAGCCTATCTACCTTCACACGCATTTGAAAATTTCCATTAAAATGTCAAAAAATAATGCTGGGTGTAAAAACAGTGCTTAGGAAACCTGCTGAGCTTCTTTGGACCTCAGTTTCCTTGACCGAGAAAAAGAGTATCACGCAGGCGCGAGAGTTAAACGGTATAACTCATGCATAACCCTTAGAATAGTGCTCAGCACATAGAAATTCGCAATAAATGCTAGTTAATGTTTTTTTTGGACTCCGCCCCCATTTTTCCTCTGCCACACCATCTCCCGGCTTCCTGTCTAGGTTGCCCTGCCTTTGCTCAGAAAGTTCTGGTTATCTGGAACACCTTCTTCACCTTCTTTCCTGGGAAAATTCCTCATCCGTCATGCTCCGGCTAAATGTCACCTCCTTTCTGTGGCCTCCTTTCTCTGCTTCTCTGGGAAGGAAGGATTTATGGCTCCCCGCTCCCTGCTCTGACGACGCAGGTGCCAAGCACAGTTCTGTTACAGCACTTGTCACGTTGTGTTAAGTTCGTGTGTGCCTGTGTCTCCACTGCATGGCCAGCCGGGGCCTGGCACTGAGCCAGTCTTGAAGAACGATGCTTGAATGAACCACAACTTTCAGACTAACTGGGGGTCCTGGGTCAGTGCCTCAAGCTCTGGCTGGGCCGCAGGCCCTGCTGTCGCAGGGTGGGTCAACCCCAGCTGTGAACACATCTGCCTTCCACTGGGGAGGAAGAAGGCTCAGGGCAGGTTGGGGGACAGAGGGGACGGTGTGGGACTCATGTGCACAGACCGGATGCTTTTTATGCATCAAGGACTTTGTGGGCACTTTAAATACATTGTAATGTTTAATCTTCACAACCACCGAGAGTTGTGGCATCGTCCCTATTTTATGTATGTGGAAACTGTGGCTCAGAGAGAAGTGACTTGTCCGAATTTGTCCAGTAAAATCATCTGTCTATCCTTCCCTCCTTCTTTCTGTCCATCCAAAAAAATCTTTATTAGCTACTATGTGCTGGGCACCATGCTAGTTACTGGGGGAAAACAAGAGCTAAATCGACCACAGTTCTGGATCGGAGTCCATATTCCAGCGTGAAAGACAAATGTTAATCAAGTAAACCCACAACTGAGTGCACAATTGCAAACCCTGGTGAAGGAGAAGCGTAGGAGGGACACGACAGAGGGCCTGACCCAGCCCGGGAGGTCAGGGCAAACTTCTCAGAAGCAGCGATATTATCCGAGCCTTGAACAGCTCATGCAAAGGCCTTGAGGTTGGACGAAGCATAATACGCTTGAGGAACGGAAAGCAGTCCCCTATGGCTGGAGGGATGAGGGTGGCAGCTAGAATGAGTCAAGATGAGGGTGGACGAGGAGGCAGGGGCTCCTCATGGAAGCCTTGGAGGCCATGGTAAGGAATTTGGGTCATTTTCTTAAAAGCAGTGGGAGGCTATTGATGGGTGGGTTTAAAGCAAAGAGGTGACCTGGTGACATATCATCTATTCATTCAACAGCAAACACGAGCTGAGCAACCTCTGTGTGTCAGGGCTATTCTAGCCCCTGGGGATAGAGCAATGAACAAGACAGACACAGTCCCTGTCCTTGCTGAGCCCACATTCTGGCTAAGGGGACTTATAATCTAAAATACAAGAGTGATGTGGAAGAACATTTAGGAAGCCGTCGTGTGTTTTCGGTGTGAGATAACGGTAGCAGCGGAGGCACAGAGAGGCAGACAGATTTGAGGCATGAATGGCCAGCTCTGGCTCAGCCTCAAATTGCCAAGTGAGAACAGAGATGTTTGTCTCTCGGGGTTGCTGTCTTTAGCCGTGGAACCATATGTTCTGAGAGTGCTGGGCCCTGCCACTCCTCCACCCCGCGGAAGGGAATCCCCGGGCATCATCCCTGAGCCCAACGAGCTGCCCTCCTGGGCAGCAGCTGGCTTCATCTGGGGAAGCTTGTGGCCACCCCACCCCCCTACCCCACCCTTCTAGGTGGACCTGTGCCCGGCACCGCATCCATCCATCTGGCCTGACATACATCAGTGTCAATCCCTGGCTGCAAAAGCAATATTTATAAATCACGTTTCCAAACTGGCTACACATTTATACAAAGAAACAGATGGGTTGGGGTAGCCGTTTGTCACCTAGGATATTTATACAGTGAGGAGGAGGGGGCTTGGCACGTTGTGGGCAGGGGCTGAGGGACTGGAGGGGGAGGGTTTCCACGGCTACTCCGACCTCGGCGCGCTGCTGCCACCCTGTCCCTGGAGCTTATGGCAGGGGCCACGCCGGATGGGAGCTCTGGTGGCTCCTGGCCCAATAGAAGCAGTTGGGACAGAACCTCAGGCCCCGAGGGTTGGAAAGACTGGTGAGCTTGGTGAGGCTGAGCCAAGGCTATCTGTGTTTCCTGCGGCCAGCTCAGGATACCATTGGAATAATGAGGAGGCAGCATTGTACTGGTTGTTAAAATACCGAAATACTTCCCAAAAGTTTTAAATAGCTGTGACTCTAAGCCCTCCCCCACCACCCCCGGCTGCCTCAGCCTTTCCCCCGGGCATCCTCCCAACTTTGACTCAATCAAGCCACTAAGGGGTTAATGCCTGGCACCCAGGGGCTCCTGGGTCCTGCTCCAGGTCATGGCCAGCATCCCTTCTGATGGCCATCTAAGTTGCACTGGATGTTAAATATTTTTAATATGACACCAGGAATAAGATGGGTCTGGTTTCAGAAGTCACTAAAGCCTCTCCTATTGGGGCGTGTAAAGTCCTGAGGTGATCCCAGACCTATTCCAGAGCCAGAACGAACAAAGCATGATCTGGTTCCTCATGCCTCTCTGACTATGTCTCCTCCTAGCCCTGTCTCTCACTTGCTCCAACCACGTAAGTCTCCTGTTCCTCGAACATGTCACCACAGGGCCTTTGCACTTGCACTTTCCACCTGGCTGTTTCTTTGTTCAGTTACCTGTGTGGCTCACTCCTTCATTTCCTTTAGATCTCTTCTTGCTCTAGATTCCCTCAGGCAACCCTATTTCAAACAGCTTCTCCTCTTACCCTGTTTTATTTTTCATTGTTTCATTGAACACATTTTATCAAACATCTACTGTGTGCCAGGCACTGCTCTAGGCACCCAGGGTTAAACAAAATCAAGTCCAGACTCTTGTGCAGACTGCATTATTCCCACACCCCAGCCACTTATCATCCCTAATGTATTTTTTATTTGTTTAATTTCTGCCTCCCCTTACTAGAGTATAAATTCCATGAGGGTGGGGGTTTTGCCTTGTTTGCCATTGCATTTCCAGGGCCTGGGGCAGAGCCTGACACGTAGGCATTGTGCCTCCAGAAATGCTCAATGATGTCCTCAGTAAATAATTGCTGAATGTAGGGATTGACGCGTGCTAGGTACTAACAGTGTAACTTGGTAGTCCTCATCTCCTGGGGCCACCCAGCCACCCAAGGTGGTAGCCCTTATCAGCCCCATTTTATAGATGGTGAAACTGAGGCTTAGGGAGGGGCAGACACTTGCCAGGGTTGCACAGAGAACCATCGTCTGAGCCTGGGCCCCTCCCTGTCAGTCATTCCTTAAAGGTCTAAACTTCCACTTCGTGGGGAACTTGGGTGGGTGGGATGGGGTGGGCGGAATCTCACAACAGAATCAGCTCAGGCTGGGAGGGATGGTTTGCTTTCCAGGTAGGGAGCTAAGGCAGGTGCACTGGGTCCGAGAGAGGTGTGGGTTTGAATCCCGGCCCCACCACTGACTCCCTATGTGACCCCAGGCAGGTCCCTTGGCTCTTAGAGTCTCAGTTTCATCACCTGTGAAATGGGAAGAAGGGTCAAAAAACCACCTCCCAGGGGGGCAAAAGAAATAAAGCACTTTCTAAATGGCGGGGTGTGGAGTGTGTGCAGAGGCTCACTGCAGTCTCTTCACACAGAGCAGGGGCTCTTTCCACCCTGGACTCTGGCCCAGCCATGCCCATCTATTCCCTTTCTGCATCCTTCCGTCCACCATTCCCTGCCCTGGGGATGCCCCTCCACCCCACCGGGCCCCACCCTGCTTGTTCTTCATGGTCTGGCCGTGGGCTGGTCCAGCTCCAGCCTGGCCCAGACTTCCTAGGAGATCTTGCTGACACCTGCCCCATGGCTGCCTCCATCCCCCCGTCTATGCTATGTAGAGAGGGCAGGGAGGTGAGCCCCCCGACTCCACGCATCCTAGGGTTCGGTGGCTCACCTTGGATGTCGAGCAGAGAGAAGTGAGGGTTGCTGGGAGCCTCGGGCACCAGGCGGAAGTAGAAGCGGTGCCCACCCTGGGGCTCGTCCCGGTCCACCACGCTGATGGTCTGGATGAGCTGAGGGGTGGGAGGGGCAGGGAGCTGGCGGTGAGGCTGCGACCACTCTGGGCCTGGGCTGGTTGGCCCCTGGCCAGTCCTGGAAGCACCCCCAGTCTCCAGCCCCGCAGTGGTACCTGGCCTGGCTTGGCGTCCTCACACACAGCTGCCTCGTAGGGTGTGGCCAGTTCTGGGGGATTGTCGTTCACGTCCAGGATTCGGATCCTGAGGGACGCCCGGGATAGCTGGGCATGATTGTCTGTAACAAGAGCACAGGAGTAGGGGGAGAGGCATCACATGTGAGATCTAGACACCCCATCTGTTACCAGGACAAGGTTAGGCAGGGGGGTCAGACTAAGATTTGTGGGGGACCAAGTCGGCATGAGGACCAGGACCGGGGACATCTGGGCATATGTGGGTAATCATCACTGTAACCATCACCACCACCATCACTATCACCATCACCATGGTGACCATTAGTACTGGCACCACTGGCCTCACCACCACAACCCCCACCTTCATCACCAGTACCAACCCACCACCATCCCCATCCCCATCAGCAGCCCCACCACCATCACCATCCCCAATACCAGCCCCACCACCATC